CTTCCAGTCCTTCTCGAGGTACTTTACGAACGTCTGCCAGCCCCTTGTCCACACTAAGTTCCCATTTGTCTCAGCAGCCGGCGGCCGCAGCTGGCTTAGCACAGAGCCTTGCTGGTCAGCCTGCCAGCATGGGCGGTGTGACCCAGCTCCCGCCAGGCCAGCTACCTCAGAGCAGCTCCAGCACCGTCCCGCCCAGGCCCAGGAGTGCCACTTCTCCCCACATGAGCTTAGTTCCCACCCCGTCCCCAGAAAAAGTGGCTTCCAGTGCTGGTGCCTCCCATGTCAGCTCCCCGCCAGTCTCAGTGCCATCCTCACCGGCCTTCGCAGTTAGCAGCCGGTCAAGTCCCGCATCTAACCCACCTCTACCTCAGCCGACCCCAGCTAACGCTGCTGCTTTCCCCAACCCGTTGTCCGACGTTGGAACAACTGCAGAGGACTTAAACTCCCTGTCTGCCTTGGCCCAGCAAACAAATAGCAAGCCACCAAATGTCACTGACTTTGAAGCAAAAAGTACTTCAGGCGAGGCACTCTTTAAACACAAGTGCAGGTTCTGTGCAAAGGTCTTCGGGAGTGACAGTGCCCTGCAGGTCCACTTGCGCTCCCATACGGGAGAGAGGCCCTTCAAATGCAACGTCTGTGGGAACAGGTTCTCTACCAAGGGGAACCTGAAAGTCCACTTCCAGCGCCACAAAGACAAGTACCCCCACATCCAGATGAACCCCTACCCCGTACCGGAGCACTTGGAAAACATGCCCCCCAGCACCGGCAACCCCTATGGCGTGGACATCCCCCCAGAGAAGCCCGCCACCAGCTGGCTAGACACCAAGCCAGTCCTGCCCACTCTGACCACTCCCGTCGGCCTGCCATTGCCCCCAACCCTCCCAACCCTCACAGAAGAGCCAGCCCCCACCCCTATTAGCCATTCTGCTACCAGCCTCCAAGGCTCAGTCAGAAGTGACTCTGGAGCGCCTGATTTGGCCACAAGAAACCCAAGAGGGCTCTCAGAGGAAGCTGAAGGGTCTGTTGTGCTACCCTTCTGTGGAAAAAGTGAAGAGACCGGCTTAGTCCCAACAGCAGGCAACAGCACCCTGAGTTCCCCAGTGGCTGACTGTGGCCCCGGAGGGGACACCTTCACCAACCCTTTGTTGCCACTCATGTCTGAGCAGTTCAAGGCCAAGTTTCCTTTTGGGGGACTCTTAGATTCAGCCCAGGCCTCAGAGACATCCATGCTGCAGCAGCTGGTAGAAAACACTGACAGGAAGGCCGGGGGCCGCAATGAGTGTGTCATCTGCCACCGGGTTCTCAGCTGTCAGAGCGCCTTGAAAATGCACTACCGGATGCACACCGGGGAGAGGCCCTTCAAGTGTAAGATCTGTGGCCGGGCTTTCACTACGAAAGGGAACCTTAAGGCCCACTACAGTGTCCACCGGGCTGTGCCCGCACTCAGAGTGCAGCACTCCTGCCCGATCTGCCAGAAGAAGTTCACAAACGCAGTGGTCCTTCAGCAGCACACCCGAGTGCACATGGGAGGCCAGGTCCCCAATACCCCAGCCCCTGACAACTACCCGGAGTCCATGGAGTCTGACACAGGCTCCTTTGATGAGAAAAATTTCAGTGACTTAGACAACTTCTTGGATGAGAACATGGAAGATTGTCCTGAGGGCAGCATCCCAGACACACCCAAGTCAGCTGGTGCTTCCCAAGACAGCCTGTCAGTGGAGAATGGGTCCTTGGAAGGGGATGTACTGACCAACCACTCATCCTCGGTGGGTGGCGATTTGGAGATCCGGAGTGCCAGCAGTCCTGCCATCTCAGAGTCTACCTCTTTCATGCCGGCTCTGTCCCCATGCAACAGCACCCAAGAGTTTCACAAGTCAGCCACTGTTGAGGAGAAGCCGCAAAGAGTGAGGCCAGCTGAGTTCGCCAACGGTCTGTCTCCCTCCCCAGTGAATGGGGGTGCTTTGGATTCTAGTCATGCAGAGAAAACCATCAAAGAAGAGTCTCTGGGAATCCTCCTCCCTTTCAGAGACCGGGGTAAGTTTAAAAACACCGCTTGCGACATTTGTGGCAAAACTTTTGCTTGTCAGAGTGCCTTGGACATTCACTACAGAAGTCATACCAAAGAGAGACCGTTCATTTGCACAGTTTGCAGTCGCGGCTTTTCCACAAAGGGTAATCTGAAGCAGCACATGTCCACACATCAGATGCGAGATCTGTCATCACAGTTCTTTGAGCCCAGTTCCAACCTCGGCCCCAATCAGAACTCTGCAGTGATTCCCGCCAGTGCATTGTCATCTCTCATCAAAACGGAGGTCAACGGCTTTGTGCACGTTTCTCCTCAGGACAGTAAGGATGCCCCCACTAGTCATGTCCCTTCGGGGCTTCTGTCATCCTCCTCAGCATCCCCAGTTCTACTCCCAGCTCTGCCCCGGAGAACTCCCAAACAGCACTATTGTAACACATGTGGTAAAACCTTCTCCTCCTCGAGTGCCCTGCAGATCCACGAGAGAACTCACACTGGAGAGAAACCCTTTGCTTGCACTGTATGTGGAAGAGCATTCACGACAAAAGGCAATCTGAAGGTCCACATGGGCACACACATGTAGAATGGTACCCCCTGCTCGCCTTGGCCGTCGGCTCCCTGTGGATGGCCCCATGGCATTTCTAGGCAGTCCTGTCAAGTTCCTAGAAATGTCCCAGAAGGATCTGGCAGCAAGGTCAGGAAGCGGGGATCCGTCCAGTTTTTGGAACCAGTACACAGCAGCACGGTCCAACGGGTTGGCCATGAAGGGCAACGAGATCTCTGTCATTCAGAATGGTAGCATCCCTCCAATTCTTGGAAGCCTGGGCAGCGGGAGCAGCTCACCCGTCAGTGGGCTGACAGGGAATGTGGAAAAGCTGGAGAATTCTGAACCCAGTGCTCCTCTGGCTGGCCTGGAGAAAATGGCGAGAAGCGAGAACAGAACCAGCTTCCGCTTCACCCGCTTCGTGGATGACAGCAAAGAGATAGTCACAAGCTAAAGCTGCCCCACCATTCCACCCAGAACGCCGCCCGAGGTTGCCAACCTCTGCCCCTTCTTACCTACCTTCCGGCTCCTGGGACTATGAATTCCATTATGAAGACATTCTTTTGTACTTTGTTCAGCCTCTAGAGTTCTAAGAAAGCCTATTTATTAGTGCTGTAACCTTGCTTTGCAAACAGAATGCAAGCGTTAACTTTGGTCTTCTGTATTTTGGACTAAATACTAGTGGATAGAATGCTATAAACTTGCTGTAATATTCACGGCAATGGCAAGTTGCCGTGCCAGGCAGTCCTAGTCTGGCATTAACTTAGTTTCTATATCCAGTTTCATATGAATCTGGTGTTGATGTAATGCCTCCGTGATGCGTTAGATCTCTAATAAAGTCTGTATATACACTTACACTTGGATCCTGCTGGAAAGTTCTATCAGCAAACACATTGTCTAATCTTTCCAAACGGAATGAAGGGAAGGACTTTAAGTACAGGCTGAACGTTTGAAAGTTTTGGGTTTCTTGTTTGTTTTGGTTTTGTTTTCATTTTTATTCTGAACTTCAACCAGCCTTTTTTGTTATTTTATAGAGTTAACCATTTCCGTTTTGAACTGCTATTTGTATTGTGCTTTTTACTTGAATCGTCTTTAATATTAACAAATTTCTGCACAGTAATAAGCACGCAGAATTCTTTAGAGGGTAAAAAAACCACACAAGTGTTGCTTTGGTAGTTGAAACTGAGACTTAGCATTTTTGCCTTGTAGGGTATATTCACAGTAGAAAACATGTGCTGGGATTTCACAATGCTGTTAATGATATCATCTTGAACGACCTTCAGTGGAGACATGTAGATGCTCTTGTATATACACTAAGACATATCACTTTCATTAACATGTACATATGTCCCTTACAAGAGCAAATGCTTCTTCATCGAGAGCAGGTATAGTGTTGGTTTATTTTATATTAGATATAGAAGGGGAAAAAAAGGAATGTTACATGCACTTTCTTGGAAACTTGAAAGGGGAGATTCCAATTTCTTTTTTTTTTCAGATATTTTTAAAATTTGAATTAGAAACAAGATTGTTTTACATGACAATCCCAGTTCCCTTTTCCCTCCCCTCCTCCCCTACTACCTCCCCCAACTAAAACCCTACCTATCACATGTCCTTTCTTCTAATCTACACCTGACTCAACCTTTCTGCTCCCTTGTAGGCTTGTAATCCTTTACTCTATGTCTAAAATGAACTTGTGAGTGAGTACATATCAGGTTTGTCTTTTTGTGATTGGGTTGCCTTGCTCAGGATGGTTTCTTCTAGTTCCATCCATTTTTCCTGCAAATTTCAAG